TAATATATATGTACATATACATATATTATGTATATATAACATATTACATTTCTATATTATATGTGTGTATTTATATGCGTGCATGTATGCACGCATGTAAGCACAGACATTCGTGCATACTCCAGTATATAGATATATAGATATATATATGCATGTATGCACACATGTAAGCAAAAGCACTCGTGCATGCTCCAGTATGTATGTGTAGCATGCGTGTATGCACACATGTAAACACAGACACTCCTGCATACTCTAGAATGTATACATATGCATGTACATACGCACACACGGTCGTCAGCTTTTTGCAGGCTGAGGGTCTCGGAAATGTCATTCCATAGGCTTGAATGGCTCTGTGCAGCACGCAGGGAGAACCTTTGACTGTATCTGACAAACTCTTCTCTTCCCAACGCAGTCCTCTTCCCATCTATCCATCACTCAGGTCGGCTGCTTCCTCCGCACCCAACAGCAACAACTTCCTCAGTGTGCCGCTTGCTGTAATACACTGGAAGCTGCTGTATCTAGCATGCTCGGTAGATACTGCATGCTGACAGTCCATGCTGATGTGAGCGATCGAGCAGAAAAATGAGGTGATCCACACTTAGGGAGGGAGAGGTAGCCCTGGACTAACAGTTCATAAACGGTTGACTGGCAAGTGATCTGTGATATCTGCAGATTTTGAGGTGGGATGGAGGGAGCAGTATCCTTCCCTCTAGTTTAACATGTCTACTGCTTCTGAGAATAATATCCCTGCATCTCTACACTGGAGTTACAGTTTATTTTATGAAACTAAGCTTAGCAAAATTCTCCTCTGCCATGATTCTATAAATTCTCCTAGAGTGGTTTCCTATACCAGCATTTTGTACATTTTAATATAATACTTTTGCTTTTTACTTATTTTTCTTCCCCCCATATTGTTTAAGAGCACCCTTGACCCCTCAGCACCTAATGCAGTCAATTACAGTAAAGGTTCAACAAATAGTGGATTCATTTTGTAGGTTTAGCATCAGATTCTCCTGTACCTTTATTATTATAACTAGGATTATCTTCCAGAATAATCATTAAACTGTGTAACTGTTTCACATGAGTTCTGTAAGCTGTATTTTCCTGGCTCTCCATTTAAAACAAAGACTTTCGCCAACTGAAACTTAAAAGTATTACATTGTCTGGCCTCAGGAGCTCGCTACCCCTGCTTTAGCTCTTTCCTTATCTAATAATTTGAAGAATAAAGTTGAAAAATGTTTGCTATGTGCTCTTGAGATGTCTCAGAATTAGGATACAATTCTCCAGGGTCATGTCAAGGCAAAAGACTGAAATGGGTGATCTGTCTTTAATATCAATATTCTTCCTTTTTTATCTCCTACCGAGAACCTTGAGGGGTTTACCTTGACAGCCACCTAGACTCTCCAGTTCAGTCCCATTTCAGGACCTGGTAGAACAGCAGTTATATTTTAATCTTTGTCCTAGTGGCAGGTAGCGTTAGAAGCTCAGCTTACTGAAGGCTTATTGTGTACAGGGCTCACTGCATACATTTGACGGCCAGTAAGCCAGAACATGGAACCGAGGCCCCATGTTTGCCACTGGTGAGTAAGGTACTCTGAGCCAGGTCATTCACTCCAGATCACACACTGGAAAGAGAAGAGGAGCAAGGATCAGAAGCCAGGCCATGTGGCTTTGGGAGCCCACATCCAGCCCCCTGCTCCCAGGAAACATGAGCATTATATAAGACAACCTGGGTTAAGGAATAGTGGTATGAATTCTCATTCTCCCACTGACTAGTTATAGCCTTAGGCAAATTAGAACAATGAAATTCTAAGAGGAAGCTTTGTTGTATGCTGAGACGTGTTCAAAATGGACATGGCTTAATGGCCTGTGTAAGAACAAATCCTATTCAGAGCTTAGGCCACTGTCTCCCTGTTGTCTACCTTCATTCCATTCTAGTCACTACCGTACAGACCTGCTAGGAGTTTTAGATGACCTGATGTGTATAAAATACATATAGTATTTGCATGCAATAGTGCTCAATAAGGCCTTTCCTCTTCCCCTTCAAACTCACTGTTTTATGAAAACTCTCCTCAGTCAAATCTATCAGAACATATATATATGTGTGTGTGTGTGTGTGTGTGTGTGTGTGTTTGTGTGTGTATGATTAGTGACTATTAAAGTGAGTAGTAGCCATTTCCTCAGTGTTGACCTGCAGCAGTTTTGAAGGGCTACTGCTAGAGTTCAGATCTCCCATTCCTCCATCCAAGTTGCAGTCCAAACACCACAATTTCTTTTAGGAAGCTAGCCACGATTGAAGACAGAGGGTTATGGTAATGACAGAAATAGTTCAATTAGTGGTAAATTTTTATTGAAACTTGACTTGATCGAGAGATGCCTAAGAAATTAGTGAGGAGCACTTTTGGGTGTGTTTGTGAGGAGGAGTCCAGACATGGTGACATATGGGGCTAAGGGTGAAGATCTTCCCTGAATGTTGGTGACATTATCCAATAGGCTGGGGGTCAGGACAAAATGAAAGAGAAAGAAAGAAAGAAAGAAAGAAAGAAAGAAAGAAAGAAAGAAAGAAAGAAAGAAAGAAAGAAAGAAAGAAAGAAAGAAAAGAAAGAGAGAGAGAGAAAGAAGGGAGGGAGGGAGGGAAGGAAAGGAAGGAAGGAAGGAAGGAAGGAAGGAAGGAAGATGCTAGCCGGTATATGCAAGTTCCACTCTCCCTAAAGTACGGCCTCTATGTTGTTGTCATTACCCATGGGCATCAGACTTCAGTTCCATCAGCTTTGCATTCATACCACAGACTTTCCAGGGAGCTTCCAGGTCTTCAGCCTTGGACTTGGGCTACATCATTCATCCACTCTGTTCTGAAGTTTCAAGCCAGCCAGTTCTCTGCCTGTTTAACATGCAGACGGCCAGTGTTGGAGTATCCAGCTTCCAACTGTGTCAGCCAATCCATTAAATTCTCCTTTAAAGTTGTGTGTGTGTGTGTGTGTGTGTGTGTGTGTGTGTGGAGAGAGAGAGAGAGAGAGAGAGAGAGAGATCTGCCTATTATACTTTCTCATATGAAATCAGCTCTGTAGACAAGCTTAAATGTCCTTTATACCCTCTTTACTAAGGTTCAGGGAACGTTGCAGAAGAGGGGGTGGAAAGATGTAAGAGCAGAGAATACACAATGTCCTTTCTTAGGCAAGACACACCCATTGCACTCATGAACTCAGCAGCCACAGATACTGTCACAGATCTGCCCAAGAATGAGTCTGTCAGCAGTTAGGCATGGATGGAGGAGGGGGCCACAGGGCCCTACCACTCACTGGTTAACTATTCGCCACCAAGAGATTCAAGGAGACAAGGAAAAAGGGGACCATTGCCTTCAGTAGTGTACCCACTGGCGACTCCACCAGGTTCCACTGGATAGTTCTAATCCAAGAGTCACACAGATGGCCCAGATTAAACTGAATTGCCCCCCCACAAAAAAGCAAAAGTGATGACCCTAGGAGAAGGTAGCAATGAGGAGAGTCTGGTAGGGATGAGGAGGGGATAAGGAAGGACGGGCAACACTCAGAATCCATTCTACGCATGTGTGAAATTATCAAATGACAAAATTATAAATAAAATGTGTCTATGTACAATCCAATTCATGAGTTTAAAAATCAAAAAAAAAATAGAAGTCATGTTTTCCTGGTCACCTTACATATTTCAATAGGCTGATACAATTTTCTGATTTTTTTTAACAGAAAAGAACAAAGTCAATATTCATTTCAATGATTGGTAGAGAGTTTGATTATGTCCAGATTGTATCCTAAGTGCTCCTTGTAAACCAAAAGGAAACTACAGCTGGAGGCATCTGAACCCTCTGCCCCCAACTCAATCAAGGACACTCTCATCTGTAATTATACACTGGCTGCAAGTGAAACTATCTTTAACTCGCAGTAGGTCAGTGGGTTGGTACTAACTGTACTCTCTGAACATGAACAGGATTTCCTTATTGCTAAAGAGCAATAATAGAAATTTGAGCAGGATCTATAATTTTCCTGTGGTACTGAAAGCAAGGTGACTTGCTTACCAGGATAATCCTAAAATCAAGTGTCCGTTCCTACTGAACACAATACAGTCTGCTATGTTTTAGACCACGTGCCCTGAATTTCACTTGAATGATGGTCATATGTCTACAGCTTGGAAAAGAACAGCCTGTGCTCTGCAGTCTCTTAAGTAGTCACTATGTGGTCCTAAGGAAATTAACCTTTGGGAACATTAGTAGTAGCTGCTTCAAAAAGTGTTTGAGGAATTAATGTATGTTAACTGTAGAGGCAGATCATTTGGTAGAATGCTTGCCTAGCAGACATGATGTCCTAGGTTTTGACCCTTGTCAACCAGGCATCATGGTGCACACCTCTGACCCCAAAGCTCAGGAGTTGGAGGCTGGAGGATCAAAAGCTCAAGGTCATCCTTGGCTACGTATGGAGTTTGAGGCCAGCCTGGGAGACATGAGACCCTGTCTCAAAACAAAAGCTATACTTAGCACTTCATCCGGTACATATTAAATTATTCATAAATGCCACCTTTCCTATTATCATCATCATTCCTCTCTCCCCATCTTGTTTATGTTCTGCAAGTCTCACAGACTTTCTTCGTTTTTAATTTTTGAAAATTTCAAATATGAGTATTGTCTTTGTATTATTTCCATCCCTCCCAGTCCCCCAGCTCCTGCTACCACGTCCCCCCTCTACTCCCTCTCGATTTAATTCAATAGATGAAGACTATGGCAAAGTTCCACAACTTGTCAAATGCAAAGAGTAAGTGTCTGTGAGGTGCCCAGCCCTAAGAGACACATCAACAATGCAACCTTTACACCTGAGACTCAGGGAACATTGCAGAAGAGGGGGCAGAGAGAATGTAAGAGTCAGAAAGACAAGACTCCTGCTGCTACTTATTGCTTTCTAGACATGAGAGGGAAATGAAATTTCCACAGTGTGGAAGTCTAACGAGATCTGCATAAAGACACAGTTAACATGCCAAGGTGGATGAGGGAAATGTCATGGAGTGCCATCTCATGATGAAGAGCTACAGGCAATCAACAGATGCTGAGAGAGGAAGTTTCCTCTGTGGACTAAATAACCCTGAGAGGTTATCTAATCCCAAATGAACAGCCCTGAACACAGATATACATGAGCACTGTTAAATGGGTTCTGTATTATATTCACGTGTGTGTATAAATATATGCATGTATGTGTAACAATAATAACCCACAGGCTTTCTTAAAGTGTTAATTCACTTAGCCCTCAGCATTATAAAGGCCTAAGCAAAGAAATTTTCTGAACGATCTCTGAGACAACGGAGTCATGCAAATGAGAATGAGCTAGCAGTCCTGTCTGAATAGACCTGTCACCTGCCCTGATGCTGGGGCTCCTGCAGAATCTGCAGAACCCAGCAGCTCCCTCAGAGGGCCAGCCCTTCTTCAGTGACTGAGACAGTTGTG